ATATGGAAAAACCCATTTCGAAGATCAATTTTGTTACAAATTTTAGAACCCTGTAATTGGTCTAACACATCTTCAATAAGAGGTAAGGGGTATCTATCTTTAATTGTTTTTGAATTTAATTTCCGGTAATCTATACATAATCTTAAGCTATTATCTTTCTTTTTGCAAAGAACTATTGGGGAACAATAATCAGAGCAACTCTCTCTAATTATGTCTGTTTTTAACCATTCTGATATCTGATCATTTACCTTTTGTTTCTCAGAAAAAGATAAACGTCTAGCTCTTTGACATACTGGGATTTCATCTTTTAAAATAATTTTCATTGTTAACTTAGTGTCTTTAATTTTGTTTGGTTTGTAATTATTAATCAACGCGGACAGTTCATTTCTAATACAAGGATCATTAACATGTGATAAATTAGGTTCATCATTTCTATACACATTGTTGATATTAAATAAAAAACATTCACAAGAGCAAGAGTCATTAATATTGAAACAAGAACATTCATAAAAATCTTCACTCTTAGAAGTTTTGGTTTGAGTATTTACACTTGAAGAAGACTGACCCAGTTTTATTAATTGCTCATAAATCGTTGAATTTATTATTGCATCTACTTTAAGTTCATCCGAAACAGCGGCGCTGACCTTCAACCCTGACTCATTGGGATATAGAGACATACGGATCTGTATAAGTTTCGCTTTCCGTTCAACCCCAAAACATGACGTCAGCATTATATTAGATTGAGGAAAATCTTTTATTTTTATTTTATTTGAATTAATCACCGATATTTGAGCTCCTGAATCAATTATGGCATTCACTGGGTTATTCTTATTCAAATAAATCTGAGCATACTTCAACTCGTGTTTAAAATTATTTTCTCCAGATGGTTTGCAGGAATTAACACTAAAGCTTTCATTTCTTAAGTTATCACTGGGAGGGGTATTTTTTCTTTCTGATTTATCGCTTCTGGAATCATATGTTTTTTTCAATCTCTTTTCGCAATCACGTGCAAAATGACTGATCTCTCCACATATATAGCATTGTTTCTCTGCTCTATTTTGTTTATTTATCGGTTGAGAAAAACGATCCGGCTGGTTTTTTCTGAAATATTTTTTCTCGCTTCGAAAAAAAGTGTTCTGCCCATATTTATGGGTATTGGAAACTTCTCTGTAAGGCATATTTTTAGACGTAGTGTAAATGTCTAATTCTCGAGCTAACTCGACAGGATTAAACCAATTTTCTCCCTGGCGGATTAAAATATGACTGGCCATCTCTTTATTTAATATCTCAATTATTTTATCGGATATGATTAAATTGCATAATGATTTAAATGTTTCAACTTTACGTAATTTGCAATAATACTCGAAATGTGAATTTAAGCGACTAGCAAATTGAATATATGTTTCTTCTTCAAATTTTGAGGCATTTTTAAAGTTATTCAAACATTCTTGGGGAGTTTGTTGAAAATCGCGCAGTATTAAAGCTTTTAATTTTTCATAGTTTTTTAAATCCTCATCTTCTATGTATAACAAGATGTTGTTTGCTTTTTCACCTAGCATGTTAATTAAGATTTCGGCTTTAAGCCCCTCATTTATGTTTTTCGTACTAAAAGCTCTTTCCAACGATGAAAAAAATTGATTAAAGTTTTCAGGTTTCGATGGAACTGGAAGAGATATAGTTTTAATGCTATGAATTAGATTCTCAATGTTTGTTGCGGGTGTATCATTTATTGTTTTGGGAGGGTCGATTTCAAATGCTTTGTTTTTCGCTTCTAATAAAAGCATTTCTTTCTCGAGTCTTTCTAATTTTAATTTTTCTAACTCAATCTGAATTTCGCTTTGTTTAAGTTCCCTGTCTGCTGCTTGTACTCTTTCTTCTACGGCGTTAGCTATCAAATTTTTGACAAATTCAGAATCATTCTTAAATATTTCGGAACATTCAATTTTTTCTTTTAATTTAACGATATTATCGATGCTGTCTGCGATGCCTCCTATTTCCTCTAATACTTTTACTAGGTCTTCTTTCTTTGAATTTTTATACATTTTTTAAAATTGAAAATTTCCTACCTTGATTGAAGAGACTCTCAGTGTCCAATGGTAATCCAATGTTTCTCGATTCGTTGATTCAAACCAGATTCGTATCCTTTTCGTATCTAAGCATTTCACGATTGCACTTCCCCGGAAAAGTTGACTGCCTTGCTGATTTGCACAGGATATTCCAATAATTTCGGAAAGTTTCTGGATCAATTCTGCCCTTCTCGACAGAAGTTTCTGGATCAATTCTGTCCTTCGCGACAGAAGTTTCTGGATCAATTCTGTCCTTCGAGACAGATTCGGTTATTGCTGATTTAGGAAAGTTCAGAGGTCTCTGCTGCTGCTTTTCTCCAGTCGCTGATTTTTTGCTGCACTTCTCCCCTCTCGATCAGTATGACTCCAGAAAATTCGTGGATTCCAGCTGCTTTTGCTGCACTTTGATAAATCGCTCCTCCACGAGCGTAGAATTTCGGTGATTCGGTGAACAGTTCGGTGATTCTCCTACTCGGGATTTAAAATAGGAACAAAATCTGGATCTCCTTCTCGAGCGCAGAATTTCGCTTTCCTTTTTTTTTCGGTGAATGTCCCCTTCTCGGGATTTCTAAAGTTACTTGACTGAAAAATATCCCCTTCTCGGGATTTCGAAGTAGTTGGTTAAAATTCCCTTCGCGGGATTTTAAAGTTTAGAAATAGTTACAGCTCGCCGTTCAAATTCCGGACGAAAGCCCCCATTATTTGTGGGAGATAGTGCAGCATAGGAGTAAATAATGACGATAATTTAATAAACATAACAATTTAATAGAAATAAAAGGTTAGAACGATATAACAGTGACATGGGGAGAGCTGCCTTCTCGCAGTGGTCTCCGGATTGCATGTGACTAAGAATTAGAGTGTTCTATGGTATAAAGTAAGAGTTAATTATAAATTCGGGAGTTTCCCTTCGGGACTTCCCCTTCTGGTCTGGCTGGCGCCTCTCAATGTCAAGAGAATGATGCAACTTCCTTTAATATTACAAGATGGTGGATGACGCAATGTTCGCAGTTATTACACTATAATACTATAACAACAGCTCCAAACTCCACACACACACACACATATATATATATATATATATATATATTCATATTCTTTATATATACTTTGTTCATATATACTCATATAATGTTTTGCATGCACAGTGCACATGAGAAAAAAAAATCACCTCAGTAAGTTTTGGTATTGTGTATGCACTTTTTTAATGTCCTCTACTACGATCAAATTTTAAAAGTTCAAGAATTTAACTACAAACATACTTATAAGTTTTTTTTTCTAATGAAAGATTAGTTCTTGGAATGCAAAACTCAGTTACTCTGAACCAACTTGCCTTCCTCTCAAAATATACGGACTGACAGTTTAGGGTGAAAGCTTGAGGCTTAAAAATATTTATTTCACTATTTGAGTAATTTGCATATTCAGGATGCTATTTAGGTTAATAATAATAATAATAATACTAAAAACTTAGTTTTAAACATAATTTCATTTAAAACATGATTTTTATAAACCTCATTTTAAATTTAAAAAATTATATTAAAAGAAAAACCAACAAAATTTTCAATCTAATAAAATTTAAAAAAACTAATTGTTTCTTAACTAATTAACCAACTTCTTCCAGATCTCGGGATTTTGTAACTTTAAAATATGTGTTTTAATATGGAAAAATTTGTGTACCTTACAGTTAAAAAGTTTTTTTCGATAATTTTTAAATTAAATAATTTAAATATTAAATAATTACAAAAATTTTTCTTTAAATGAACAAGCTTAGAATTCTTATTCAATAAGATTTAGATTCGTTTAAGCAGCTCTAAAGATTAGGCGAAATACATTGATTTATATCATATCCATTTATATCATTCAATTCATATTCAACTCATGGCAACTATTTTTTGTAACATCATTAACGATTTTTAAAATATTATATTTGAAATATTTCTACCAATTTTTAAACTCTTTTTAAATTTCATACAAGGAATTAATTCAGTAAATTTTTTAAATTTACTAATTTAAATGAATGAAGTAAAAATGTGAAATAAGCTGTGACTTATTGTTTGCGGTTTTCTGTTAATATAATTTTTTTAAACAATACGTACAAACTATTGATGAAAAATTATGAGTAAAATGCAAAGTAATCCTATTTATTCATATATACGTAAGTAAGAGCTATTTATTCATATTTTTGTTTAAATTGTCTCTGTTGTTTATCCTTCCTTAATTTTATTATTTATTTTTTTTCTGTCAGCAGTAATAAAAACTATGTTTGAGTCAATTAAGTGTATAAATATTAATCATGCAGTTTTTTTAGTTTTAAATTGTGCTGTTAGATGTCAGCACCATATTTCTTGTGTCTAGCTGAAATCTAAAATAAATTTAGTGAAGTTTCCTGATGTTCTGTGACCTTGTGATTATAGTTATGTTCAGTATTTAGCTCTCTATGGCGCCATCTATGAAAGCATACAGAGCTAACTTCTTTTGTACTCAACAATAAATCTGATATATATTTAATTTTAAAAATAATATTAATTTTATAATAATGTTGAACGTGAAATGAATTTAGAGTGACAAAATAACAAATATGCGCTTGTAAAGTCACATTGTTTTTTTTTTTTGTTTCCATTGATAATATTCGATCCAATCATGAAAACTAATACTAGTCTATATTTTAATTAAGGCTATGACGTATAATTTTTTTATGAAACATATTTTTTATATTTTTTTCCATATTCTTGTATTAATTCTGATCAAAATAAGTCAAAAATATTTTATTTAGTATTTTAATATTTTATGGTTACGAAATACAGGGTGAAACACCGGTGCCTTTTTCTACTTTGAAGGTAAGATCTTCCAAACACGGCCAAACAATAATTTTTCAAATTTACACTTGTTTGCAGTGATCTAAGAGAAACAGCTATTCATCATTGAAGTTTCTTTAATTTAAAAAATGATTGATTGTTGAATAGTTTATTCTGAATGAAAAAAAAAACTTCATCCACTGGTTAAGTGTGAGATTATATAACAAAAAATATTGGCTTAATTTTGAAGCATTATATAATTTAAAACTGGAAAAAAATTTCAAATAGGTGGTTATATTACAATTATTACCGAGCTTGCGTAAGTACTTAAATCTTTGGAGCAAACTGATTTTTTCCTTTACCATATTCATGTAAGGAATAAGAAAAAATCATTTAATGTTTCTTTAAAATAACAAATTACAACTCAATCGCAGATTTCAGAAACATAAAATTAAAGTATAATTACTAGCTTATATAAACGTTATAAAACCCAAACGTGAGTACAAACAGGAAAGCTCGAGCAGGAAAACTCAAACAGAGAATATAATTATAACTTTTGTATGAACAAAATTAAAACCTTAGGACGTATTAAACTTCGACGTATTCTACTTACGTATTAAACTTCTTTCTCCCTCCTCTAACGAAAATGATGCGTGCTATGTTTTTCGTTTTTAGTTTGACAAGAAATAGAAAAAATTTCTCATTTTTTAATTCGTTTGAAAAACGCCGTTTTTAAAACTTTTTAATTTTATTTATTATTAATATTATTAACAAGTTTCCCTGTTTATGATGATAGAATCTTGCAATTGAAATTCGATTAGGTAGAGCAGCGGTTCAAAATTTTTTCTTGCTACGGAACCCTACATGATCAACCCTTTTTGGCGGGTCCCCGATTTAATAAAGTTCATTAGCAATTGTAAACATATTGACCAGAGAAACACTTAATCATTTTAAAACTAAACCTACCAGAGTGTTCAATTTACCGCTTTTGAGACTTGAATCAAAATTGCTTATTCCAAGTTAATATTATTATTAGATTTTGAACTTACTGCACCACACACACTTTTTTTCTAATATATAGATACTGAATTGTTCAATATCAGTCTCTGTTCTTTCGTTTTTCCCGATAATCAAATGTACTCTACCGTTATTTACTTTGAGCAGTCGTTTGACAGTTGGAAAATAAACGAAATTTATAAAATTATCTGCTTTGAAATCTTAAACCTTCTATTAATTTTTAGTTTTCCAAGAAAATATCATCCGATTGAGTTTAGGGACATGCTATGTGATTATGTGCAATTTGTTTTATGCTGAGAGCTCCGACTGCTAGTAACCCATGAGGCAAAATAACGATCATTCAAATACCTTACATTTTTTTTTTTTTTTTTTTTTTTTTTTTTTTTTTTTTTTTTTTGCGACGTGATGAGTTCTATTTATCCATAAACTAAGCTACACACTTTGGGTAATAGATAAGATTAGTACTAATTTTTGTAATATAGAACTAATAACTAGACAAATACTAGACTAAATTTTGAAAATAGATGGATTATTCAAACACAAATTCGAAAATTTAGATGTAAAATGTCAGTGTAAAGGAAATGAGGGAAAATAAATAATTTAATTGGAAATGGAGGAAGAAAATTATGAGAGTGAGGATGTTATGTATGATCTATAGGACTCAGACTCTGAGTTATTCGACCTAGTTAATGAGGAAGAGATTGAGAGAGTTCTGTAGTTCCGAAGACGGGAATGTGAAGAAAACGATCAGAATATTGAAATGTTTTTTTATTTTATTATTATTACATGATAATTATTTTTATGTTTTATTACCTTTACTATATTCTGTATTATTTATAATTATGAGAGTGAGGATGTTATGTATGATCTCTAGGTCTCAGACTCTGAGTTATTCGACCTAGTTAATGATGAAGAGATTGATATAGTTCTGTAGTTCCGAAGACGAATGCGAAGAAAACGATCAGAATATTGAAATGCTTTTTTTTATTATTACATGATAATTATTTTTATGTTTTATTATCTTTACTATATTCTGTATTATTTATAATTAACCGGAAAAGAATATAACGTCTATTTGACTGCCATCATTAGAAATATTTACACATAAAGTGTCGGTGGGTTTAGTGTTGTAAAAACATTTTATGCAAGGAATTAATTTTTTTTTCATCGTTTAATCAACAATAGTTTTAGAATTAGGTGTTACGTCAGACAATTGAATTCGCGGGTGTGGAATGGTATCTAGTTTAGTTCTGAGCGGAAAATGAACAACCTGAGTAATGGTTTTTGTTTGAATGAAAGACGTAAAAGAATGGTAATCATATAATCAGAGAAACACATTTCTTTTTAAAATTGGTAATTTTTATTTAAATTGAAAAGTTTGATCGGAAATACTGGAGCAATAATTTTTTTTAACACGTTCACGCCGGGATGACCCACCGGTGGGTCACGCTAGATTGTTTCATCTTGGCAGCGCACCGGAGTAAAAACTGGTAACAATAAATTTCATTTTTTAGTTTTTTTCCGGGAATAATAAAAATCCATAACTACCAATTGTTTTTAACGGATGCAATTTTTAAATTGAATTGCTTCTTCTCCGTGATAAATTTCCTTACAGTGAATTGTTATTGTTGAGAATAGATTAACTCCTCCCGTATATTATCTAATATTGAAATAGTTCTTCTACCAGTATTTTCCCTTTTCCCGTACCAGTATTTTCCCTTTTCCCGGCGTGAACGTGTTGATAATACTACCTTTTTTAATGACATTTATTTTTAATAATTTCATAAACAAGTCCATGTCGAAACGATAAATAAGATTGGATATAAATATAATTACATGTTTTAAAAAAATTTATTGTTTTTTTTTACAAAAAATATGCAAAAGTTTCTACAAAAATCTCGGAACCCTTTAGAGTTCCACGGAGCACCATTTGTTAAACGCTGAGCTAGATCACTCAAATCTCGACAGGGCTGCGCTTCTATAATAAAGCAAGTTTCAATGATTTAAATTTTAAGTCAGTGATTAGTTAAATTACTGATTAAACAATGATTGCTGATTTAAAGTTTCAATCATTTAAATTTAATGATTTATAAATAAAGAATTTTTAGTCATGAGTCCGACTGCCTTGAAAAATAAAGCTTCGAGAAAAATGCTTTTGAAATTTTTGGGACAGCACTCAGGAGATTGTACGAGGCTGCACAAAAGATTCGAATTCATATATATTTGAATAATTTTTCCAAAATCACAGGGCTGTCTTACCCTTTTCATAAATATCCGATTTAGTGTTAAACTGTTCTATAAAATTTACTAAAAAATTATATCCCGGACGAAGGAAATATCAACTCGTGCCAAACTGATTGCTCGCTTAAGTTATGTATCCATAGGGTAAATTCATTTCAACGTGAACTTGGGGTTACAATCGTTTTTTCGTGTTATTCGGAATGTATGGTGTTTAATTGTAAACATGATCCTGTGTGTTGTTCAAAGTGGGAGATTTATCAACCCTTCCGTGCGACGTCATATACACAGAGTCAAATAAACTGAGATTGAGGAAATTGAGCAAACTCTTTTATCTACATTTCCTGTTCGAGCTTTTGACCAACAATTCGATAACCACGTGTGGACAACTTTTCAAGGCTATAAATTCACTTCATTGTAGATAATAATCCAATCATGTGGCTATTAATTGTTCTCGGAGCACTTTTCACTGGTATGTATATATTTAATACGCCATTTTTTATTTTAAAATTTTGTTTTATTCTGACTGAAAAATAAACAAAAAAATTTAAAAGTTTATGAATAGTATTTGAACAAAATTTTATTGTAAATCAGTTAGAAAGTAAAACAATAAAATATGATGAATTTTAATCGAACTGTAGCGTTCAATATTGCATTATTAAGCTTATAAAATTTAAATCTGAACTTTATTACTGACTCTGTTCCGATTGTCATTCCTATAAGTATTCGCTTTTTATGAAACTAATTTTTTTATTAGCGAGTAATTTTTCTAAATTTAATTATTTTAATTTTGTTAATAAAACAAAATAAAAACAGTAAGAATTAAAACACAAGCAAAGTTAGATTGCTAAATTTTTACATCAAATTTTTAAAAATAATTTTTTTTTTTAAATTTTCATGTTACTTTTTGCATTTAATGCTTTTAGTTTAAAAACTGTATCAATTAACAGTTTTATACGTGAAATTCAAAATTTTTAAAAAATAATGAATCATCAATATGTTTAATAAAATAAGTGGTTATAAACGTATACACTTGGCGTTTTAACACGAAATGAAATAAAACCAATAAAAAAATGTAAAAATAAAAAGAATTAACGTGAAAAAAAATAGCAAAAAACTATGAGAAGAACAATATGAGAAACTAACGAAAAAGATAAATAATATGATACAATTTTTTATGGTAATATACTATTTTTCTTTTTTGTCACATTATTTAAAAATTTTCATGCACGGGAGAAAAAAAAAGACTTTTAGATTAAACATTTTTTCAACTTTTACGTAATAAGTTGTTGTTACGTACGAAGTTTGAAGAATTTTAATTAAAAAAAATGGTTTTAAAGAAGTCTTTCTGTATTTTTTGACCTTTTGACAAAAAAATGCAATATGAGAACAAAAGAAAAATGTGCTGATATGCATATATATATATAAAGTAATTAAATAAAAGAACGAAATGAATAAAATAAAAGAATAACATAAAATGATGTATGAATGAGAAATATATTATGTGAATAAATAAATTATATAGGAATATAATATATGAATAATAGATGATATTCAATAAAATAAAATAAGGGCTCTTTTTGGATATAATTCAATAGCGTCAAAGCGTTCACTTTTTGCTGTGGTTTTTATTTTAGCAAAAGTCATGTAGTGCTAAATCTGAAGAGAAAGACCGATATCAATAAACAGGAATCGGATTTTTTGCTGGGCAGGATATGGCTCATTGTGAGATTTAAAAAAAGATAGCAATTGGCTCATTTTTCTGGTCTTTTTCACGACACCTAATTTTCAAGTTTTTCGAATGCATTCTAAGAAAAGCTTCGTCAGTTTTTAAGATCAGAGGTGGTCTTGATGCTAAATCGTATTTAATGGATTTCTTTCCACTTTTATACCGTTGTAACCGAACTGAAACTGGCTCCAGTTTCACCATATTACCATCATGCAATATCATTTTTACTTTCCATGAACTTCTTCGGCACATTTTTGCAACTTGAAACAAATTTCAATGCTAAGTGGCTAAAAAAAGAAGAAAAAATTTCTCTTTATATCATAGAATTCTTCAATACAGTAAAAGAATTGTCTTTTTCAAAATTCTAGCCTATAAAAAACGAATATTTATATGTTGTAAAACTCATTAATAGAATAAAAGATAATTCCTTTATTCTATATTCTTGTATAGAAAAACGAACATTTACATATGCTGTAAAATTCCTTAATGGAATAAAAGAATTCTATTATTCAAAAATTTAGCATATAAAAAACGAACATTTATATGCTGCAAAATTCATTAATAGAATAAAAGAATTTTCTTATCCAAAATTCTAGCATATAAAAACAAACACTAAATGCTGCAAGATTCTTTAATAGAATAAAATAATTCTCTCATTCAAAATTCTAGCATATAAAAACAAACATTTTTAAATTTTTTATAATTCATTCTTAGAAAAGCTTCGTCAGTTTTTAAGATCAAAGATGGTCTTGAAGCTAAATCGTATTTAATGGATTCCTTACCACTTTATAACACTCCAAACTAACTCAAACAGTCTTCAGTTTTACCATATTACCATCATACAATATCATTATTTTCATATTTCATGAATTACTTCGGCACATTTTTGCAACTTGAAACAAATTTCAATGCTCTGTGACTAAAAAAAATCATCTTTATATAATAGAATTCTTCAATACGATAAGAGAATTCTCTTATTCAAAATTCTGGCATACAAAAAAAAGCATTTATATGATGTAAAATTCTTTAATGGAATAAAAGAATTATCTTATTCATAATTCTAGCATATAAAAACGAACATTTATATGCTGCGAGATTCTTTAATAGAATAAAGGAATTCTCTTATTTAAAATTCTGGCATATAACAAACGAACATTTTTATACTAGAATACTATCGAATATACTTTTAAACAAAGCTCGCTTATTGAACATTCTAGCATACATAAGACAAACACTTAAACAATGTTTTATGAAATTTTCTTCAAAAAGTTTGAAAACTTAGCTGTTGAGATTTTAGTAACTTATCAGAAAAATGAAACCTCACTGGGGACAGAGTAGTTCATGGTAGCGTAATATAAAATTTTAAAAAAAATGATAATTAGTAAATAAATATATTCTGTAAGTATTGATCATGGCTAAGTGAATGATAAGAAAAAATTAATTCTTTAGTAAAATGAATCTTGCATAAATATCTGCTAAATTCAATCTATGAAAAAATGTGAGAATTATTATTTATTTTTTGTTCTTTCATAATTTTTTGTTCTTTTCATTAATTTTTGAGCAAATGTGTCGACCGACGCCAGGAATAAAGTTTTGAGAAAACTGTTTTTTTTCTTCTTTTTTTTTCTTTTTTTTTCCACTTCTATTTTCTCCGACTTTAATGGGAAAAGTTGTCGAATGTTCTGTGTTCTAGAGTTTTACTGCGATTGACTTTAAAGTTTGGAAAAAATATTCTTGATAAGTTGTTGTGTTAGTTAAAAAATTATAAAAATAAATAAATTACGATTTAAAAAATTATCCGATGAAAAACGTGTTTAGAATATGTGACGATGGAAGATGTGGTAAACCCAATCGTATATAACGGCTTTCAATTATAAAACAACAAGCATAACGAATAATAACAAATGGCAATAACTAATTACTAACAGTTCTTTTTTGTGTAGGATTATAACAAAAATAGCTGTTTATAATCAGGATGACACAATAACGAATATATAATTCAATAGCTCATCTAATCTACTTAGAAAAATGGATATAAGATACCATTATACTTTAATAAAAACTGTAGCGTGACATTATCTTAGCACAATTGACCTAAATTTCTGTTGTACAAATTATCTTGTTAAGGTTTGCAGTCTTGCAAAATCAAAAACTTGCATGAAAACTTCAAAAATGAAAGTTTTTCTTACACCTTTGACCTCTGAAAGTTTTTCTTACACGTAAATCACCTTTTTATTGGCTATTTTAAGTATTGCTATAATTATTAATTATTTACTTTAATAATGAGCAAAAACGCATGAAATTTTGATATAATTTAAGAAAAGTTTTAAAAAAAATGAGCTTTGAAACTTCATGTATCTTCAAAAACAACGTAAGAAATAGCAAAAAATGGAGCTTCTAGTGTTAAAAAAACCTCAATGTAGGGAATACCGGGCAATGCCTCTTAAACTTATAAAAGCATCAGTGAAAGGTATATAGGAAAAAGGCCCTTTTCATCGGTGATGGAAATACAATAAATTTCTCACTTTCTAAACCTACAAAATATTGGCAGAGTCCACTCCACAAAGAGCGGCTGCTTGAAAATGAAGGAGCAATGCTACGCACTTATTGCTCTGGTCAGTAAAGCCTATTGACAACTCGCAACTAGTGCAATAAAACTAAGTTATTGGAATTTTTTTCTTAAAATTCATGTAGTGTTCATGTACTCTCCGATGCTGACATCAACTCCACACTTTTTAGCTGAGTTACAAATGAAATGCAAATGAAGTGTAGAATTTTGACTTATGAAATGGTATTTTAATTTAGCATTATTAGTATTATATGAAAGATTCTGTAATTTATACCTTTTCTCCAACTTTTTAAATTGTTATTTGTGTGATTTTCGCAAATAAAGATCCAAAATGCATTTTTTTAAAGAAAATATTGACAATTAATACTATATTTAAAACATGTTGTAGCTCCTGTCTTTTCTGAAGATAAATGTGATGTTTCTAAATATGTGGAATGCATGGAACCCATTCATAATGCTACCTTTGGACATCCAAAGGGTATTTATCAAGATTCCAATGATCTGGCAACAAGCTGCCCGTAAGTGCATTTTATCAATCCACATTGTCACTCATATTATTTTGTATTGTTCTATATCTGACTGAACTTAAACTGAATAAACTTAACTAAATAATAATAAACTAAATAATAGTAAACTTAAACTCCCAAAAACTTAAACTAAATACCCAAGTTACAATTCTTAATGGTCCCATTAAAAAAATTTTGATGGTTTATGTTGATGTCAGTGCGATTCATGATAGCCCAACATCATTTGATGGTCACCATCATCCAACATTTTTCATTATGTGTTCATGGATTTTGGTTTCCAACAAACTTGCATCATTCCATGATCGAAAATGCTACTTTAATACTGTCATGGTTAACCAGGAAGAGAAGTTTTATTCTCATGGACCAACAATCCATGAGGACCCGTGATGGTCCATGATGGTTCCAACTATACATTTCCTTGATGGTTTAATGGGAATTCTTGTAAGTTCTCAGGAATAAACCATCAAAACAATTTGTTTGTTTTTTATGTTGGACCATCATAAATCAGACCGAATTCATACACTGAAGTGATGGTTGTTCATGACCGTTCCAACATTTGATTTCTAAGAAACTATCATGGAAATTTCTGATGGTTCAACATACACAAACCATCAAAACAAGTTGTTATTCTTATGTTGGACCTTCATAAATCAGTCCGAATTCCTGCATTAGGGCGATGGTTTCTTATGTTGGTTACCATCCAAAATATAACGGTTCCATGATGGAATTATTGTTGGTTACAAGATTATGTTGGTCCATCATTAGAACACCATCAAAAATTTTGATTTGGGTAGCACTATTAAAGAGTTTTCAGTACTTTAGCGTAGTGTCCCGTATGTTCACGTAAGTATATTTTGTGCAATAAGGGGCTCTGTTGAGAATCGAGATTGTTCATTGAAATTAAACAATCCAGCTCTTAGCATTTGCACAGAACCTGCATGCAACGTGCTACTTTAAAATACTATATCTCGCAAGTTATGCAATTTACGATATTTATTTATGACACAGCGCATGTATCTATCATTCAGTGGAGAATAATGCATACATTACATTCTTTGTCTTGTTATTTTCCGGAATTACGATATTTACATTCGAAGTTATCAAAGGAATAAGATGCCAAATTATCATTCTTTATGTTAGCAATAGATGAATGAGTAAAGTACTAAGTTTGTAAATAGCTCCTACGCCTAATTCTTTATTGATATTTTATTGCTATAGAATAATAATTTATCAACTTATTGTGTAAATGTTACTCAACATGTTAAGCATGAAATAGCTTAATTTGTATTGCTTAAGCTTGTGATAATTAAATAGAAAGTTTTGTTTCATTTGTGAGTAGGTTTATATACCCATTGGAGTTAATTGTTTGTGGTGCTATTTTTAGAATAATTAAAACAATCCTAAAAAAAAACACATACAACAGAAATAAAAATCTGTATTTATTAGTATAGTACTTACTTTGATAACCGAAAATTTAAATAAAAGCATACCAAAAATTAATTAAGCCATTACGTAGAAAATTGACCATTCTGTACCCGCTATTTCAAATGCATCAAAGTTGTTGATATAGTTTTGTGCTTTGCGTCGAAAATAGTTTTGATAATTGCTTAGAATTTAGATTACAATAACGATGATCGCTTTACACGATAATGATTGCTTAGAATGTAATTATGAGTATTACTTAGATCAGTGATTCTCAACCACTGTGCCGAGGCACTTTTGTGTGCCGCCAAATGTTGGAAATGATACAATAAAAATTATAATGCTTTTTTTTATTATGAGTAAAGTTTAAATTAAAGAAAAGTGTATATATATATA